GGGGGTGAAAGGTCCACGTGATTGCTCCAGTGGTGTCAAGGCTGAGAAAGGTTGGGAACCACTGTGCTAATACGATATTTCGTATGGTGGTTGTATAGGTTTTTGATGGATATTAAAACTAAAGTTGCGAATTAATCTCTCCAGTTCTGTTTGTTTTATTCTTTGTATATTTCTTCTTGTCAAAGACTATTTTTATTTATTGTCATTAAAAATTCATCTTGAAATTTTACGCCCCTCCCAAACAAACTTCTCCTTTTCTTCACTCTGATTGGTCGCTTTTTAGTTTTTATTAGTCTTCATTCATAAACATGTGCACGTGCGCTTCACCTGTAGCAGACGACGTGATGTAAATATTCACGTGACAAAAACAAATGTTTTCATTGGTTCAATGATTGAAGTAATTGATCCTGAATGTAAAATGACATTTTCTTCATAATATTTCCATTTAATCTTCAGTTGAAATATATTTGTGGAATTTTACTAATCTGTTTTCATTACAGATGTCGGAAGTATATTTATGGATATGTGTGTTATTTGTTTATGCGGGAGAGGTAAGAATTTATGACTTATTACATTAGTGCTGTCTTCGTACATAATAATATGTAGGTAATTCTTAATTTACCGAATATCATTGACATCATAATTAAAAAATACTTTGATTCGAAGTTTGGCGTGATGAATTTTGGGTCGCAAAAGTGATTATGAAATGGAACCCTGAAGTAGAGAGGGAGGACGAACAGAGAGAAGATATCGGATGGTTGAGATAAAGGAAAGGGGAATAGAGGTGATGGAAGAAGACACGCTTGGAGTAGAGACGATGGAAGAAATGGAGGTAGGGGCAATAGGAAATTTGGTACACTGAGAAGTGTAGAAGAGAGACGGGATAAACGAAAAAGGCCGGGGTAGAGAGTAAATGTTGAGAAGTCAGAGGGGAAGAGCGGAAACTCAAGAAGATGGTGAAGTCCAGAGGAAGGGAATGGATGAGGAACGAAGATGAGATGAGACAGAGTGTTTAGAGAGAGACAGTTAGAAGGAGAGAGACATAGGTTGAGCATGTGGTGGATTTGACAGAACAAAATGAGTAGAGAGTGAGGAATAAGGTTTAAGTCAGTTAGCGGTGGGTATTCTCTCGATTTGAGAGGTACATCATGTACCTCCGTGTAATGCTTCGAATTACAGTACTCCGAAGACTTAATATAGGCGTCTGTAATCTTTCTTAACGATTCGAACATTTTTCTGTAAATTTTTGATATTTATGATATTTTCATAAGTAGCCTCAGTGGTCAGATAAAATTGCACAGAATTCCCTCCCTTGGGTAAAACGTATATAAAACGTTTCTTTGTAAATTAAAACACTTATATATTGCAATTTAGCGATAGAAATTTGGAAGAAATTCAAAATGTTCCTTTAGTAAACCCTAGATCGATCTCGTCGATTACGTCTAAAGTAATACATGTAATAATGACATAATTATATTAAAAGATAAGATATAATGGATCTAGCTAAGGTCGTTAAAATTTATAGAGACCGCAGAGTTTAATAGATTTGGCAAAATTTTCATGAAATTATTCTATTTAATTTGATTCGCAGATCGTCGTGATAAATATTAATTTTAGCATATCATAAGGTCGCAAAAGTTGTTATTTTGATTCGCAAATTGCGATGCAAACAGTTTTAAATTGGAAATAATTGATAAAAAGTCACCTCAGACAATGATCGTCGAGTAGATTATGAAAGCCGACTGCGGTCATTACTACTATCTAATGCTCGCCCTTTTACTCGTTTTCTCGTAGGCGTAAAGGCGAGAGTAGTAATGGCCGCAGTCGCCTTCCATAGTAGATGAAAACTTTTGCTTAAGAATGTGTCTGTGTATGACAATTTATTAGTATAAGGTTTTATAAGAGATATGCTCTCTTAAAGAAGCACTGGCGTAGGTCACAATTAGGTACTCTGGATTTCAGCTTTGGAATACATCAATTATTACATCAGAGATTTACAAGATAAAGTTCTTGATTTCAAACGCAGGAGCACATGTTCAATTTGATTTATTTTCTTTGCTAACATTTTATTTCCGATCAAAATTTTGATGTGTTCTTTTGGGAACATGGCTGAAATACCAACTGCTATTTGTTGTCCTAACATGAACACGTGTTGCATTCGGCATGATATAAACCACATATTTCAGTCATCCGGGAATTACATTAACCCTTGACCTTTCTGTTTGATTTTGAAAGAGAAACTTTGCAGCTTCAAATACACTCACGTGTTCGACATGCTTTCCAATCTGGAATTGATCAATGTTTAATCTAAAAATTCCTTTCTAAATCGATTCAAGGTATTTTTTTTTAAACAGTAAACGATAAACATATCTTGAGTAATGTGTGGCTTCTGTTTTATAAAGAAGATGGTCTTTAGAATTATACAGGGTATAGGTGAGAATATCGACTCTCACAATTTGAGATTTCCAGTGGCGTATTAGGTTGGTAATTTTTGACCCCCAACCCCTCGGGCCATTTCTTTGCAATATAGAGGTCTATATAGTGAAGATACACTTATCTGCTATATATAATAGAGGTTTATAATAATGAAATAAGATACACGTCTCTGCTCTATATAATAGAGGTCTATATAGTGAAGATACACTTCTCTGCTATTATATAATAGAGGTCTACATAGTGAAGATACACTTCTCTGCTATATACAATAGAGGTCTATATAGTGAAGAGACACTTCTCTGCTATATATAATAGAGGCCTATATAGTTAAGATACACTTATCTGCTATATATAATAGAGGTCTATACAGTGGAGACAGACTTCTCTGCTATATATAATAGAGGTCTATATAGTTAAGATACACTTCTTTACTATATATAATAGAGGTCTATATAGTGGAGATACACTTCTCTGCTATATATAATAGAGGTCTATATAGTGGAGATACACTTCTCTGCTATATACAATAGAGGTCTATATAGTTAAGATACACCTCTCTGCTATATATAAAAGAGGTCTAATGAGTAACACGGGATTCAATTTAATTTATCTTCAAATCAAAACAAGTTGCCGCCAGTTTTAATTCATCTTTAAACGAGATGAAATAAAGATCTGATGTGTGATTACTCTTCAATGAGAATACTTAGTCTTGAAAATCACCTGTCTTCATCTTGACTGTGTAAAAGTGTAAAAGTGAATTACGGTGTCTGTAATTTTACGACAAGGTCCTATAACTCCAAGCAATATGTGACTTGATGTTAGTGTTTGCTCAAGCCATATGTGATTTGTTTTTCGCTCATGGATAGTTTTGATATAAGGAGATCTTTGAAGATAAAGCTAAATCTTTAAAGGGGAACAGGACAGTGGGAAAGGGTTCGCAAACAAATATAGAAATATCCATATTAGCGGACTCTTTACAGTGAAACTTATCTTGAGATATCCTAAAACGATATTTAAGGGAAAACAGGTGTGATAATGCCCCTTTAATTTCTTTCAGGTATCTAACAGTGGAGTATTCGAGGTTAAAATCAGATCGTTATTCAACAAACATGGCCGAACTGTCAGTGGGAGATGTTGTGCAGGACCGGAAGTGGACGATGCCTGCACTGCCACCTGTCGGACGTTTTTCACGCTATGTCTGTTGCACTATCAGAAACCTGTTCCTGTTTACCCGGCCTGTACCTTTGGTGAAACTAAAACCCAGATAGTTGGTGCCAATAATATAGGAATTGGAATCGGAGCAGAACCTGCATTTTCTGTTGCGATACCATTCAGTTTCTCGTGGCCGGTAAGTAGTCGTCGTTAGTTATAATGGCATTAATAGTATTCGGTAGTTAGTCAAATTTTTGGTTGTAAAAAGTTGAATCTGACTTAGGGGTAAAATATCTATCTGGATGATCCTTTAAAAGGGATTTCAAAGAGGTTTTCTAAAATTTGTAGGTTATAGGGTACACATCTTTTTGCCCCCTTTGCAAAATTATCAGTTAGGCGTCTATAGGTTGCTTCCTCGAAGCGTTCATAGGTATCGCAAAGGTCAGTAGATATTGTTAGCAGCTTACGTTGTAAGGTCCTATAAGATTAAACATTTCTATAATTACAGGAACCACAGATATCTGATGGAAAATTGGAATTTAGCTAATAATAAAAGCCATAAATTGCCTTGATACACATTAAAAGCTAACAAACTTTTTTTACAACCCCTTTAAGTTCATTGATCAAATTTATCTAAAGTATCTAAACCATTATATCGGCACGTATTATGTAACGATGGGGAATTCGCTAACGTTGGGTATATGGTGGGAACAGCGTAAAAAATACTGAATTCTCATACTAATTACCAATCAATCACAAACGAACATACAATTAATAGGACTATGCTTGCACAATCATTATTAATTTCTAATTAATTAACTTAAGGCAATTAATTTTTGCTAAGAACTACACAATTGAATAACTGTTTTACGAGCCTCTGAGATCTCTGAAAGGGATCTAAATTGGTTTTCTAACCGTTTGTATTTATACGGGAGTACCTTATACCTTCTATTCGTTTCCCGTAATTCTAGAAAAACTGTTCTAGATGAAGACGTCACTATCGCGAAAACCATTTAGTTTTGAATGTCATTTGCGCCATGTCATAATGTCGCCATGTTGTGGACAGGTATTTCGGGAATTATAGGAACCGCACTACTCTGCGACCTCAAATTCCGTATTTTGTTCTGGAGATTCGACCCATCTAAATATGTACTGGTATTTTTATACTTTCTTATGTATGTTTTGTAGGGTAATTTTGCCTTCATACTGGACGCCTGGCATGATCAACATCGAAATAAAAGCACTTCCGGTATGACTTTATCTTTGTATTTATCTTATACCCCTATAAATGTATAGACCGGGCACGTCTTGTTCACGCTATGTCTGTTGCACTATCAGAAATCTATGACCTACGCATATGCATTGCACAAGTCAAAAAGAGCTTCTTGCTCCGTGGACATAATGTTTTGAAGCTTCATCCTTTATAGAATCAAAATCGGACACCCGGTTAGATAGAGTTTAAGCCTGTTTAATTTTATAATTATACTGTATATTCATTGGCATTAACTCCAATCTATTTTCAGATACCAGACATATCATCTTGAGAGCTAGTCGTGCCAAAAGATTAAAACCATCGCCATTATGGGTGGAAGATGAACGCCTTACCCGCACGTCACGGTTAGAGTTTAGTTACCGCGTGACGTGTGACGAGAACTATCACGGTCTAGGGTGTGACAAGTGGTGTAAGGAGCGTGACGATCAGTTTGGACACTATCGATGTACTCAGGGTGGTGTGAAAGTATGTTCACAGGGTTGGCAAGGAGAACTTTGTGATAAAGGTGATTATATTTGCACATTTGCTTATATTTGCACATTTTTGCTAACAGTTTGATTCAATATTTCAGTTTTTGTTTCGCTCCATCCTTTCCATAATGGCATTAACATTTCCGGGGGAGGAGGAAATAGGAGCAGGGGGTGTGGTTCTGTTATCCCAGCCCCACCCTGCTAAACGAGTACTTCCAGTTTTATAGACATTTGATAATACTATGTTATTTCGAACTTATCCTCTTACATTAAATGGAAAACTTTTAATATTTTCAGTGCAGTGCCCAAAAAGTTGCCTAAAGTCCAATGGGTTTTGTGATAAGCCATTGAATTGCATGTAAGTATCGTTCTATCGTTTTATTTTTTTGCTTCTATATTTACCAGTTCCTGCCGATCTCACGCCATGTTTTCTGTGATAAATGTTGGTTAAAACACATTCCAGAATCGCCAAATTATATTGCCAAACGTTTCCGAACCTACACCAGAATGGGTGTGCATTATTCATTGAGTAAATGATTGCGCATTTCATTCGCAATTATACGGTATATCACTGTTCGAATATAGAATTGGCCATTATACCCAAACGGAATGAACGATGTTTTCTATGTCCTACAGTGATACATGTCCAGGCCAATAAGCCTTCAGTGTTATGTCCTAACTTTTTCAGTTGTCAGAGTGGCTGGAGGGGTCGAGACTGCCAGGAGTGTGTGACTGATGTCAAATGTTTACGGGGGTATTGCAAGACAGCATGGCAGTGTATCTGTAATGACGGTTGGAGTGGATCCTACTGTAATATATGTAAGTATAAGCAAGTTGCAGCAGTCGATCTCTGGAGCCCTATGTAACCCAATCTCCTTCAAAGTCAACATGTTTTTTGGAAATCTGTCGGGATTATTTTGGACAAAAACGTGGTGTTGTTCGGGCCCTTCAACATTAAAGTTGTGCCGCCCCCGTTTTTCTCTTTAACCAACGCCACTGTAACGAGACCTCAGAATGCCAGAGCAGTAGTTGGTTTACCCTTTTGAAAGCAGCTTTATTTAAAGCCTATGCTCAGTTTTGCCCCTTCAAACAGACCTTCAAAACTTATTATAAAGAAGCTCTCCACTTCTTTTCAGACAACGACTATTGTGAAAGTTATTCCCCTTGTTTTAATGGGGCCGAGTGCGTTCCTGACGACACCAAAAATTACACCTGTAATTGTAGAGCAGGATTCATGGGAGATAACTGTGAAAAAGAATATTGTTATACAGGGTTTTGTTTAAATGATGGACTATGTGAGGTACGTTACTAACTTAACTCCATTACCTGCTTTGAGGAAATTGCAAAATCAATTGTCAGCAAATTGGCATCGGGACACCTGTACATTACACTTGCAATATTCCTCGTTCATGTATATACGGCCTACTTCAATTGAAGTCCTGTTGTCCTGGTCTACATGATTTAATTATTTCGGCGATCATTTAGTAAATTATGGGATTTGGTTTCGTCCAATCAATGCCAAGGTGACAATTATTCGAACCCATCCACCTAGGGTGAAGCTTTCAAGGATTGGCGGATGAGTTGTCTTCCTTGTCTAATTCATCCATTCATTTCGATTTTTTAGGAGGTCGGCACCAAACGAGTCTGTAGATGTACGAAAGGTTATTCAGGCGAGAGATGTCAAAACGTCAACCCAACATGTGGTGAAATGGCTTGCAAGAATAATGGAACTTGTATGAGGTTAAAGAAAAAGTGGGCATGTTCGTGTTTACCAGGCTACCATGGTCACTTTTGTGAAATTGAGAAGAACGAATGTGCTTCAAATCCTTGCAAAAATGGTGAGGGGGCGAGATTTTCTGCTTGATTCCTGCTTGAAGCCGTTATATATTGATAGAAAAGCCATTAATCCATCTTAGAACTTGATTGGTGGAATTTCTTGTCAAATCTGAACCTGACATTCTAAGCAAAGTCTACAGATTCAATTAGCAATGCGAATCGAGTTACCTTTGAGCAATAGTTATGACTCTCATAGAACACCCTTTTGGCAAAGTACCTATATATTTTCTTAGGGTTTTCAAAATAATTGTGTCATGTTTTTCAGGAGGTTCATGTCGTGACAGAGTAAATGGATATCATTGTGTTTGTGCTGACGGGTTTGCTGGAATAAACTGTGATTTAATTTTTGACCCTTGTTTAGGAATTCAATGTTTTAATGGCGGCAAATGTCATAAAAGAGGATTTTTTAATGCAGGCTGCGCATGCCTGGCAAATTACACTGGATATCGGTGTGAGACTCCGCGAAATCCATGTTATGGAGTACACTGCCAAAATGGCGGACAATGTGTTGTGGGAAAAGCTAAAAAGGTGTCGTGTTCGTGCACTGACAATTGGACAGGTAAACTCTGCCAATTTGAAAAAGAAAAGAAAAATATTTGTGCCAGTCATCCCTGTCCAGAAGGGAGTGTGTGCAAATCTTATACTGACAATTATATTTGTATTTGTTCAAAAGAATTAAAGGGCGATAACTGTGATCAAACAAAACTTTCCTCTGATGATCCCGATTCAAAAGTGATACATAATAATTCTAAGAACTCAGCTGTCATATTATTTCATAATTCATTCTTGTTTTTCATAATTTTATTGGCAATAAAGATGGCAATAGTGTCGTGAGTAAAGAAATAGTCTTGCTTTTTTACAACAAGTCTGGTGTATGCCAGGAAGCACTGCAAAATGGGTGAAAGCATCGTTGACTTCAAAGGCCTTAACGTAAGACGTCTACAGTTGACCTCTGTGGTTAGGTACGACTCGTTTCACTGTGATATCGGCATCGGGATGAATTCAATAGTTAAACGCCTGTGCACTCTTGCCAGCAGGGAACATCGGAGTCTCTGTATGGAGATTTCGTATAGGATGTTGGAACTCATACTTATATGCTCAGTTTAAAGAACCGCTTCTGGTGCAATTAGTCCAATGCATAAAATCAGTTACGATGGTCCCATTGTGTATCAGACTGTGACTAAAAAGACATAAATTTAATTGTATCATATTTACAATTTATTAGCACTATTCATAAATAATAAATATTATATACATTTTTAATTCGCGGCTACAGATAGATTTGGTTGATACCAGCGATTGTAGCCAAAACCTCTTGATGGTTGGTAAACCTTTAATTGTCTCCCTTTAACTGAAATATTGTCTGCTTTCGATTGTTTTACACTTTGTTGTGGTTTTCCTTCTGTATTGCTATTTTTCGTATTTTTGTTTTCAGCGTTCGATTGTTTGTACCATCTATTGTATCCAAATCCAGTACTTTGTCTCACAGGTTTGGAAAAGTCGTCCCTGGTGTTTGTCGATATGTAGGCATATTGATTATCGTTTGAGTATATCGAAGACCTGCTGGAGTTGTCCAGGGCACTGTCAATCGAGTTCTGGGAGTGAAAAGTTACACGAACAGGGTAGTAATAGTAGTCTTTGGTATCACGACCAAGCCGTTCTCGAGTGGCAGGTGCATGCGAGTCACTGGAGTCATCAGAATGACTCATTCTATCAAAGTTGTATTTGGAGCTAGAATCAGAGCCTTCGCAATAACCACTTGTAACCGACGTTGGAGGTGATGAAGACGTCGAAGACAACGACGACAACGATGATGATGATGATGATGATGAAAACGATGAAGAAGATGGGTCAGAGACCATGGAATCATCAGACCAATCACTGGTATCAGAGTAATCATACCATGTTTCTTTTATTTCACTTAGAGACAGCTTCTTGCGACTTCCGATGGTGGTTGGCGTTCTTGAAATGTCCAATGTTCGGCTAGTGGATGTGCTCGTCTTCGATGTTCTTGAAATTCTCTTTGTCATGCTTGTGTTAGATGTTGAAAGACTATTTGTTAAACTCCTGGGTGAGTGATCGGCGGAAATGTACCTTGATGCTGTTCTGCTTTTAGATGTTCTTGAAAACGTCTCCTGGGAAGCTCGCCTTTTTTGTTGTGGTATGTCAGATCTTCTTTCGTCATCAGATGAGTAATCAGATTGGTCAACATCGAAACAAGATTTCCAGTATCCCAAAATTTCCATGATTATTCTGAAATAGTCAAAATATTCCATTGTCAATGACATTTAAACCTACATTGAACTAGCTATGCTGAGTTTGAAATTAGGGATGAGCAGTGCGGTGGCATGTTCCGGACCGGTTAAGTAAGCACATCCTTCCTGGTATGCGACAAAGTCGTGTTACACCAGGGGATCTTCACAAGCCAATACGGCAGATATATTCATTCATTTATGCCAGTGAGGAAGTAACAAAGACGTGGAGTTGCTCGTTACCGAAGAGGTCGTCTCGGTAATGCTGCTCTGTGAAATGGTATGATTGCAAAATTATTTGGTGTTGGGCAAAAAATCCACGGGGATCAAATACATACCTTAGGTGAATGTTAATGATCAGGACACTGTTTGATAATTCGCAATATTTGTCTGAAAGTGTTTTGAAACTAAGTAGCTGTTTGCAAGCTGAATTCAAATGTTGGTATGAAAATTCCAAGTTTTCGTTTCCATTTATATGTAGTTCAACAATGGCATACAAATTAGTAGCTTTTTATGACTGATTGCCAACTTTTGCAAAATTTTACGAGAAGATTATAATCGCTTTTCCATGATTAAACTTTTATTTTTAATTTTTTAGTTGAAAGAAGAAAACTGGAGTAAAATTTGGTTAATTTGATGAGCAGTGATCAGGATTAAGAAATTAATCGGGATTAAAAATTATAAAAACTATTATGTATGTTTTGATAAGATATAAGCTTAAATTTATTGCCTTTTTTTGTGTCCTTGATTAACTTATTGAGATATTTTACCGTAATTTTTGTGTTGTTTTAAAACCTTTTTTCTAAATTTGCTGTAACGTTTATGTTGTTTTTGTTCATTTTGTCAAATTGCGTTCATTTGTTCGCCCTTGATAAGATTATCAATCGCCATTTTTTCAAAAATATCTTCTAAATTGACTGTAATTTGTGGTTTATTTACCCGAAATATGTGGTTAATTTGTGTGATGTTTTTACACAAGTCCTGGCCAAATGTTACTTTTATCATAAGTGATTTGGCAAAGAAACGACAAAATGCAGATTGATAATATGAACATAAGATGTCGTCAAAGAAATTAACAGTGTAGGTTACGTCCCTTTTATCATGTTGTTGGCAAGAGTTGCGTCCCTTGAAATTTGAAAAATTAATAATCTTATTTTGACATTACCTCCATTGAAATTGATTTTTTTCAATAGGTTTACATTTTTGCATGAGTACAGGTAGGGTCTACCATCTACAGATCATGCTTACTCTTTTCGAAACACCTGAGGGTCCTTCTCTTCAGAGGATTCCACTAGTATATTGCCTTTACTATATATTTTGCCATTTTTGGACGAATTATTTGATTGACGGAATTATCTCTCATGTACGGATTTTTATTTACTTAGTTTTATTAACTTAAGCTGATAAAAGACGAGGTGCGATGTACGGTGCAGGATGATCGATACAGTAGAAAATAGACGTAACAAATCGTGTCCGCACTTCGTGTGTTCACTTCTTCTATTTTAGTGTGTATCGATTACTCCGCAACGGACACCGCAACGGACACCGCAACGGACACCGTACCTCGTCTATTCGCGGCTTTAGGCAGGGATTTTGTTGTATTCAATTTTTTTTATGACACTAGGTAAGATGAACATATAGGCTACTATAGTTCCAGTCTGAGAATATAACTCATCTTTTAATCGATCTATGATGAAGAATTCCATTAGATAAGATTTGACAGAATAATAGATACTGCAGACTTAAATCCATTGTTTATTAATTACAACAAAATAAATTTCTATTATCGATTTAAGTACATTAAATATTTTCACTGTAAACTAGCAATATGCAATCTGGAAAATAAAATAGACTTCACTTTCACACAAAATAATCAATAGCATACAATATTCTTTTAAAGTAACTGGTGATAGAAAAATATCGATTCTGTATCAACATGTTGAACAATTGGAACACGGTAAATAAAAAGAAATAAATGGAGTTTTACGTCCTCCTTACGCACTTGAATGGGCTAATGAAAACGGTGTATGCAGTGTACAATAAGGGAAATTTTCTCAGGACAGCGACAATGACCATCTTTTTATCGCTTGAACAACTACAGGGATTACATTGGAAAATGCTGCGAGTGGATTATATGTTAGTTTTAACCTCAATCCGAAGAATTGGCAAGAAAATCTCTTAAGCATCCCGATCAAAATAAAAGTAAAAATTGAACAGTTGGTCAATGTCCACTAAAACAACTTTGTCTTACAAATTAGAACAGTTTTTGAATCGACGCAAAGATAGCGGTAAAATATCCTTACTAAGCCAATCAGGGGCAAGAAAAAGCAATAAATTTAAGCTTCTATCTTATCAAAACATAAATAAAAGAATTTATCATTTTTAATCCCGGTTAATTTTTTAATCCTGATCACTGCTCATCAAATTAACCAAATTTTACTCCAGTTTTCTTCTTTCAACTCAAAAATTAAAAATAAAAGTTTAATCCAGGAAAAGCGATTATAATCTTCTCGTAAAAATTTACAAAAGCTTTCAATCAGTCATAAAAAGCTTCCATTTAGCACGATTCTTTAACAATTTTCTCTTTAACAATAGATAGACTTATGTTGTTTATTGAAGATATAGTACCAGATGGAAAGCAAATTACCACGTGAGATCAAAACACTCGCAAATGTTGAGCAAATTGAAGTTGAACTCTGGTTAATTATAAATTATATTAAAACAAATATATTTATGGATTGGCAAAATGATATTGATATACATGGATACGGAATGTCCATAATCGTTGCAAAAAAAGTAAGGCATATTTATGCTATGTAAACTTAGCTACGCGTACAATTAGGACGCATGTTATCCAGATCTACAGTTGCGGCTGAAGAACCCGGAGTGGAGGTGGGCTACATACAGCTGCCTTTAAGGAAAGAAAAAGCGCCTTTCCCTGTCCCTCATTCGAGCCATAATGCAGCTCAGGAATTATTCGTTCGATTTTAGCACATGCAATTCTATTTACATTTCCGACAAAGAATTTTACGGAAGGCCTCTCGGAAATCTGGACTACTAAAATTATATAAGAAAGGATTGATTGTGGAATTCAGATACGTCATCCAAAATGTTATGGTGTACACAACATGGGGTACGGCGTCGGGTTTTACGGCACTGATGTCGAACACAACATGAAACGGTACCCAGCAAATAACGTACCCTACTAGAATGTACGATAACGTTACAAAGACTTTCTTTTCACGTTTTATGGTCGACGCCTCTTCCGAATGACTCGCCGCTATTTTCGATGTTGGTTTGGCTCGGGTCGATAACTCATTCGATGCTTTAGATGTCGTTTGGATGGCCTGTATCCTTGCGCTTGCACCATCCGAAGATAAATCGTCGTCGGCTCCAGATTCTCTGATAGAGTTCAAGGTCGCTGGTTTTTGTTTTCTTGCAAAGAGAGTAGCACCCGTTACCGATATTTCTTCTGCCGCCATCTTGGATTTCGGAGCTCCGATTGCACCTACTTTGGCTCGTCTTCTCACAAACGTAAAAACTTGAACATAACAGAACAGAAGCACAAAGCAAGAACCATGATGTCCAATAGCAGCAATGAAAATGACAAATTCTGAGTTGAGTGATGGTTCCCAGATACACATTCCTGGCCTCTGGTGTTTGATTCTGTCTGTTACACAAGCTGGCAGCCATAAAACTATCATTACAGACCTGAAAAGATACAAGATATTGGATGAGGAACTGTTTTTATAGCGTTCAAAAGGACTGTCTTTAGACCCTAACTGAAGTGGCTATAGTCAAAATAAAATAAAACGAACGAAAGGCTGACAAAACAATGGCTATACCCTCTCTCTCTCTATTGACACTCATGATAAAAAAATGGACTTCACAATATTAACAAAACCTGTATTTCATTGGACAATGGGAAAAATATTTAGTGACAATTCCCGTATACAATGTATAAGAAACTTAAACACACTCTTATTTTAAGGAACCAACCGGGAATAAATTACTATATGTTTTTTTAATAAAAATAAGATAAGAATGATGCACGAAAAGAATACCACAAAAAAAAAAATTGGCACAAGATGACCTTTAAATCCATTGAAACCAATGGAAGAAATTATCACAGATCGCTGAAACTATTCTCCCGTAGGATGTGTTTATCTCCGATTATCGCAAATGACCTTCCTTACATAAACACGTTTCCATTAATATCTATTATACCATCGATTTTAAGATGTTGAAAACTTCAAGTTATTGTAAAGTTCAAACAGCCTTTCATATGTTTTGTTTTTTACCAAGTAGTTTTGCAATAAGCATAATAATTCAAGCTTTTCAGCAATAGTGGTTGTATTCAATGGCACTGAAGACAGTTGGAAGGAGAACTTGGGATTGGATTGGGAGAGGCAAACTGAATTGTTTTAGGAATCCATTTTAAAGCGGAGGGGGGGGGGGGGGGCTTTATTCTTATATTATTACATTTTTACAATAAAATAATGCACGTTACAACATAAAAAATTGTATTCTGGGCCTTGGGTGAGAGAGTGAGAGGGGAGGGGAGGACAATCAAATCCACGTGTGTCTAGAATTATCTGTTCTTAATACACTGCCATAAATAGTAAAGAAATAAAGAAAAAATTCTAGTTTGGAATATATCTTTGAAGGAATTATGCGATTTTCGTACGTTTCTAGTGCTTCTGAAGACTATTTATATATATTCAAGACTTGACTCACACATCCCACCCTCTCCACAACATTGCCAATTTGTCCCTTCAAGGAAAAGATTCCGAATGAATTCTACATGAGCTGTTGACTCGTGTGTACAAAATATATTTTTCATTGAATTAGGACAGACTGCCTGTGAGAGATTTATGAAACGGGAATGTTTTAGCTATTGACGTCTACAAGTAAAGTACTTATAGGGTTAATTCAAATCGACAAGCGGAATCGAAGCGATGATTTTAATTCAGAAATTCTAATTGGCATTTTAATAATTAAGTATCCCACATTAAAGCTCTAATAGAACTTCAATTATATTTCTAAAACATATCTTAATTGAAATGGACGTCTTCAAAGTGTATCCAAGCAGACGCGCCACATAATTGTCATTTATCTATCGGATCAAGTGACTGATAAAACTGTTTCCAGGATTATCAAAGGCATCGTAAAGAGGTTTTGTAGCCTTTTTTTATGTATATCAGGGACACCTTTGACTTCTATTTGTGACATTCCAATTCTTCGTCCAATGCCCGGGGCTTCTGCAATTCCAAAAACGGTTAACCGAAAATGACGTAAGAGAATTCGTAACCATCATACCTCCAGACCACAATAACGTGATGATATATGTTGTGTTATCTCCCCTTAAAAGATGGCGGCATTTCTGAATAAAAAATTGAAGCAAAATGTGAATGCGGTTACGAATTCTGTTGCGGGAGCTACGTCATTTCCTGTTAACTCTTTCTGAAATTTCAGGAACGACAGGAATTGGACGAAGAGTTGGAATGTCCTAAATAGAAGTCAATGGTGCCCCCGATACACATAAAAAGGCTAGAAAATCTCTTTACAATCCCTTAAACAAGTAGGCCTATTAAGGCATAGGGTATAATATTTTGACCCCATTTTTGCAAGGCTATTGCAATCTATTGGCGATATAAAGATATAACTATTGAACGACTTTGAAATACCAAAATTTTAAAAAATTCTTGTCAGGGATGCGTTCGATGTACTTACCATACTACAGCAATAGAAATATATGATTTCTTAGCTTTGTGGTGTGTTCGATAATGTACGCTCCAAGACACGGACCAAAATCTATCTATTGAGATCACTATCAACGTAAAAACTGATGCGAAAGTCATACCGTAATCACAAAATATCCAGAAACCACATAAAAATTCACCAAATGGCCAATATCCGAGGATATTATCTATAATATAAAAACTCATAGCAGTAGCGGCGACTCCGATGTCAGTGATCGCCAAGTTAACTATGTACAAATTGAAAACTGTTCGAAGTTTCTTTTCCTTATAGAATGCTATTAATACCAACACATTTCCAGCAATAGTGATGAAAACTACGCAATATAAACCAAACCCTAATAGAATTCCTCGCCAACCTATTGTAGTGATCGTCCCAGAAAATAATGTTCCGTTCTCTAAAGTCGTATTTTCATGTGTTACGTTATCCATCATACTTCGATACCAATTTTGTCAATTCGCCATCCTATAGCAGTGGTCGTCTCAGAAAATTGTTTCCTTCACTAATGTAGTCTTTTATGTATTGTTTTTCACTGTATCCATGATACTTCCAAAACACCTACTGTCACTCTGTACTGAGTCGGTCAACTCTGTGACTTCACATAGCTGATAATGTTTTTTTTGCATTGAGGAAATGTTTCACGTATAACTTATTTTATTACCTACGCATGGGTATTCTATTAGATTAATGGTTTAATACAATACATGTACACGAAGAATCTACTGGCTCATTTTCATATTCGTGCGCACACAATCAAGGACCACAATACGTAAAGTCATCCACTGGCAATTCCGCATTCCAAAAGGTGAACTAAATTCCGTTCCTTTCTGTTAATAATTGTCTTCACAAGATTCCAACACTATTGAATGCAAAATGGTAAAAGAATCAAAGGCGTCAATGCCTTCCATTAATAATCTTAGTCACAGTTAGACACCAGTTATATGTCATATCATCTAACATGAACGTGGACTTTGATCGGTTCCTGCAATGAACGCCATTTCCGGAGAGTCTGGAAGATTCTCGCTTCCGCCCACCATGTCGGGATTTATAATTCCTCTGAGCGTGATTTATTCTCTAGCTATTGATTCAAAGTTTTGAAAGCTTTTATCCAATCAGCAACATACAGAGATATTGTGGCGGGCTGGCAGCGCCAGCCTCTCGAGACTGGGGGTAAAAATAGAACGCAAACTGACTCAATGGACAACTGTTGAGACTGAACGCCAAATGCAGCAACTCTGTGGAGGCGAAAAATTAGCAAGCTTCTCATGGAGCGGTTTGGGAACGTTTCGAACATTTGAATTGATTTGGTGCATTTTGACACATATTTTGGAGAAAAACGTATACAATGTTATTTTTAAAAAATGTATGGGGTTACAAATGGGGGTGCAACCCCACTAGCGCCGCCATTGATAGAGATATAATTGATAAAGGATATGTCAGCAAGAAGATTGTCATTGTACACGTATATAAGCTGTGAGCTTCCTTGGTCGTTTCTTATTCACTCGGTATAATGAAGTTAATTGTAAAGTATAATTCCATTCATTTAATATTCTATATTTCAATAACAATTTGCTATTCTTCCTACTAACTCTACAAAAACAAATCGAAGGCCATGCTGTACGCTTTGAATGCCTTTTATCATTAGCGTACAATCCAATCAAATCACTGCCTTTTCGAACTTCTGTTATACAATAAAAGTCTGTTTAGTGTGCTGAATAGTGAATCATTTTGTCAGTTTTATGTTGAGAATATTTTAATATTATTTGTGAGTTATTGCCCTTGTATTAGTAATAGGTTTCCAGGGTAATCCTTGATGAAACTGTCTATGCTTCATACTTCGTAAGATCTAGGACGACTTCCACGTTGGCAATGATTTTGGAAGAGTTGTCTGATTTTTTGCCCATGACTTGAGCAATGATTGATTCTATTGAAAAAAAATCGAGTTGGTGTCCTAAACTAGCCGCTGACACACTACATCCGGTTGAACCGGAAGTATACTATTAAGCAAAAAGCGATAAAGTACTTGACAGAAAGATTGTAAACAATATGGTTGTTTGTTAAATACTAGTTATTGTCTGCGTTGTGAACTTGAGTTTTGATGTTCAAGAACGTGCCTAATAATGCCAAAGTATAAGACCCAGTTCGTAATAGCCTGACTTTGTGAAGATGCTAAAATCTATAATTCCCTTATACATCGCTTATTCATCAACTACAATACTAACGCCCCGGTGTATAAAAATGTATAATTCATAATATTAGCTTCATCTGAATCCGACAATTACTTCCGGTTAGTGCGGTTTGGTGATTTAGAGTTAACGTGCTAACGAACTCGTATAGCGATGTTATTTACTGACATGTTAATTCAAACAACCTTGATTTTTTCTCATTATTCCGGTTGACCTAACTGCAAATGGATGCGTAAAATCACGAATGATCAATGCCAAGAGTCTCTTACAATCAGACTACTTCTGTCAGACGAAGACAGTCTAATTAAAAATAGACCAAACTTTCGTTCCGTTTTCTTTAGCTTTTATTCTTAATATAGCCACTTCAGCTGGGGTCTAACGACAATTAAATTAACCCTTTGACCTAACCTGATACTACACTGCGTCACAAAATACCAGTGCTGGAGAGAGTACAAATTTAATTGGCTAAAGCAGACCCCATCGATTTAAGTCAAAAGTATAATATGACAAACGTTCAAGAGGGCTGTCGTTAGACCCTTACTGAAGTGGCTATATTGAAAATAAAAACTAATAAAAAACAAAAACGGAACGAAAGTTTGGTATAATTTCAATAAGACTGCGACGAAGATATCGGAGTGGATGATTGGGGCTAAAATAATTGATGCAATTTAAAGTTTATGTAACCAGAACGTTATTGAAATGCTTTATCAAACTACACGTGGACAAAAACAGAATAAGATTGTTCACCATAGATGTACACGGTTTGACAATAAATACTGTGGACAAAAACGATTATCTAATTATCAGTTTTCTACGTAATTGTAATTATAATTGTAATAGACAACAGAATAATGTTATACAAAGAAGTCATTGTGAATCTGTTTGTAAATAAGTCCCTAAGGAATAGAGCTTAAGTTTGGATTTTATCATTGAAATTAGATTTTTTACGATCATAGAGAACTATTGAATGGAGTTGATAATGAGTTTAAAATGAATATTAAGGCCGGTTGTACGTTGCAAAACGACTAGAACTACAGTAGAGTACCTTAAAGAGATTGTAAAGAGGTTTTCTAAAATATTTTTATGTGTATCGGGGACATTGAAAGCAACCATTTGCGCCATTCCAATTTTCAATTAGACGACTGTGGTTACTGCAATTACTGAGATATTTGATTAGCAAATAGTCACACCAAATTTCAGCTTGGCTCATCTTTAAAATTGATTGGCATTTCACAAAGATTCGGTAACAATTCATAGCAGATCCGGTTGTAGGTTTCACGACGATCTTGCAAATGGCGTTAGTTCCTTCAGGATGTAGACGTCTTAAATAATGTAATATAATGATCAATAACAAAATATTCTCACTGTTCAAATACTGTTCAATACATCAATTGTATGATCATTTTATAAAATATGATACAATGGATCCAGCTAGTTCTAGATTAAACGTCCTGTAGTACTTCAGGACTTTTAAAACCGTCGTGCGTTGCTTAAAAGGGATAATACCTCTTAGAATGGACATAAATTTGAATTTCAAACTTGGTCAATAAGTATATATATATTCATCAGTTGACTTACCAGGTGCCATGATTAAAGAATAGAATCTATATATATATGACGATATATCAACATGTTAATCAAAAGTACTTAGATTAATGGATATATTGAATTCAGAGATGAAGGACAGTGGAAGAACAATAACCAGAGGGGAGAAGATACACAGGGAGTTGAGAGATCTGTAATGACTAATCAGAGGGAAAGGAATATGAGAATTATAATTTGAAAGTAGAGTGGACGGACAGTAGATGAAGCACGGGTGTGAAGGAAACTGGGTATATGGAAAAAAGGAGGATTGGTGAGAGAGAAAGAGAGGCAGGTATACGGAGGATTCGGAGGCGAAGAGGAATGTCAGGAGGAAGATGCAAGGGGAGTCTGGGGCTAATAGAGAGTAATTGGGATATTCTCTTATATTGAGAAATACTTATTGTACCACCGTGCAATGCTTCGAATTACAGTACTCCGAAGACTTATAATCGGTCACCATCTTCTATACCTAGAATTACCTGATACTTTAACAACATGGGACTTAAAAAAAATTCATAAGTAGTCTCAGTGGTTGAATAAAATTGTAAAGAATTCCCTCACTTGAAGTAAAACGTATATAATACGTTACTACTTAAATTAAAAATTTTGACTCTCAATTCATACTCTTTCAATCGATCTCGCTAATGACGCCTTAAAAATTAAACAGAAAAAAACAAATAATCATATTGTAAGGAAACAATGGATCCAGGTTAAACGGTCCACAGTTCTTCAAGATCTATAACAATCTAATTATTAACAATAGCGTTTTCCGGTCTCGACTGTAATGTAAGGAGATTTATACCGAGGACTAGAAGTTAAATGAAACACGAGTTTTTAAAATACGTAGATTTTAGATTTTTTATATGCCTACTATGGCTGCTCCTTGACGAAAAAAAAAAGATAATAAAAAATGTTATCAAGTTTATATATATATATATATATATATATATATATATTTGCTTCCGTGCAAAATCCCTTAGGCTAGGCATTTGACAATATCTCTAGTTGAACTATTTTAAATAGGTCATACTGCGTTTGATCCCGGATCTTAATTTCTTTGTTATTAGAATTATTGTTGACGTTATGGATGACCGATTTTTAAGGTTTATATTACGTTTTTAAAAGACTGTATTAAATCTAACATATTATTAAATTACATTGGACTCTCCGGGTACAAGTGACCTAAAGCTTTTTAAAAATATTGTATTCTTAGTCCCGAAATTCCAATGCATTTAACAATTTGGATTCCAAAATTCTATAATCTGCCGAAAAAAATAACCACAAGATATTAGTTAATACAAATACCGAGTACTTCAAACCCGAATTGCTTCGATAAGCGAGACGTAAAATGCCATTTAGCTGGAGAAATGAGACAAAATTACGTATTCTAGTACGTCACACCCAGACTAGGAAAGCCTGTTCTTCATTACGACAGGAGTGACGTCTATCGGTCATTTGATTGACATAAATAGTAAAGTACTTCCTGTTAGTCTTTCGTGGGATAGACAACTTTTCAAGGTTGGCTCTAATCGAAAAACTGACGATTTATAGGAACTAGTGGCATCAAACATCCCTGGTTAATTTCAAGTTGCTTGTCAAAATAGCTATCAGAGGAAGATGTTTCGGACTAGTTAATTGCAAAAAGAAGTCGATCTACATCTGAACATATCGACGACGCTAAAAAGACGCTGGTCCGACCCGGTCACACCCGCCCCCAAAACTTTCAATTTTTTATCATTTTACATAGTCAAAGAATGGCCTGTGGCCCCCGTGGAAGATTTTGTGGCCCCTGCTCGGTCCCCTTATCTGATGTTTTGTGTTTAATGTATCCGAATGATTTAAGCATGTTTATAATACTTCATCTTTTGCAAGTCTTACATTACCCAACAAAAAACCAATACGGTGATAAAAACTGTAAAGCAATTCTTGTCGGACTGTACCTAAGGTAAACTTGTCCATTACCATTAGATGTACAAATATTGAATTAACCCACATCCATCTAACACCATTCCATTATAAAGTTGTGGAACTTTAATGTCTGTTTGTTTTGAATCAAAGCGTGAATTCCGTTCATTATCTACCTTTGTTTTCTCGAGCTCGAGACAAAAATAGATGCTTACATGTCAGAACGAATTTATTATGAAAAGACACTTCTGTTAGTAAAAGCGCAGTCAGAACTACATTTATGGCCGTAGGAGTTGATTTGGGAATCAAAAATTAAAATTGAAGGCCTCTCTTGCATTCTGAGATATTATTTGATTAACTATGCTAATTGCTTAGTTTGATTATACTGTATACTTTGGTGGACTTTGTTCAAGCAGTCCCTATGGTAGTTGAGGTACTACACCGATTGTAGCACACGAGGCCTAGGTTTATTGTTCCAGTCGACCAATAAGACACTTTTCATCTTAACCCCTACATCAGAATTACATCACTGACAGAGGGATACCAGGTTTAAAAAAAAATTATCATGAACTGCGCCAGAATTGAAATCTGTAGCCTACCATTTAGATTCGAGAACATTGAGCTCCCTCAGTTCTAAAATGGGTTGTTGTAAAGAGGTTTTCTAAATGTCTAATTTGTCGGGAACATTTTTGGCATCTTTTTTGCACCATTCCAATTTTCCATCAGATGTCTGTGGTTCCTACAATTCCACTGAAACTAAGTTTGATGACGTCAGTAATCGTTAAATATGTTTTATTCGATATTAGTGACGTCACAAAATTTTAGTGAGATTGCAGGAACCACAGACGTCTATTTGAAAATTTGAATGGCGCAAATCGTTGGTATCAGTGTCCCCGATACACATAAAATTTCAGAAAACCTCTTCACAATCCCTCTAAGGTGCGCTAATATGCTGCATAATGAAACATTGTAAGTTGTTATAACATATCCAAATGTACTTATGTTTTCACCTATTTTGTTTATAGGTAGGGGTGTAGGGTTACTTCCGAACCGGATGTTGCTGACCCTTGACCTAGTCCTGAATCCAGTTCTTTGTTAGTTTGAAGGTCTTCAAGGCATTAATTATCATGTAAATAATCCTGTCGTCAATTAGAATACAGATGTTGTCAATAATTTGTACGTTTTTATTTTTTTTTAACCAAAATTATGTTTTTGACATTTTAACGATATTTCATTGGATGTTGCGATGCCCAATGGAGATTTAGATCCGTTTGAAGCAGGTATATAAAGGTGAAAATTTTGTTGTTACACCAAGATACCTGAAGAGGTAAAAAGATCGTCTGCTTCTAACAGTTTTAGCCTCGATGTCACCACCGCAACCAACCATGCAGAAACCAATTGTATTTGAACAGGTGGGTCAAAATTTCAGTAAAATTTATATAAAAAACGAAACATTATTTTGACATCAAATTGTGTGTTTCACTTGGTGTTCTCAGAACAGATCGCATAACCCTAGCGTTTGTTTTGGACAAGTTTGGCGGTCTGTTCCAAGTAACGTCACTTGAAGCATGATTGTCCAAAACAAACGTCGTGTCTTTGCGAACATTAACGACAGTATTGACCACCGAACGATGTCTGGCGTTTCTAACGCTTACACCACGTTTTGGCGACCTTAACACGCTCTGGACTAATCTTCCGTCGTCGTGGCAACTGGCGCTGTTATTTTCCTCACAATTAAGTTCCATTCGGGTTCGATCAAGAACATTGACTATATTTTAATTCTGTTAATTTCGATTTTTAAAAACACTGGTTAATTAGTTGAATTGGGTAATTATGAAATCAAGGGCGATGAACGCTAATTTTTTAATTGTGAATCAATATTGAATGTCAAAAAATAAATTTTAAAAGGCAAGAAATCTAACTCTATAATGATTTCTTTATATTTGAAGGTCAAATTGAGTTGCCTTTGTTGTTCTCCAAAAAGGTTAAATTGATTTCATAATTATTACCCGTTGAGCTAACTTCGCCCTTATCTGAAAAGCGAATCTTCGTGATACGTTTATAAGCAGATGCTATTAATATCCATACCTTATTGAATCTTACCAACCTCTGGTTCTTTTTGAAAATAATTTACGATTCAGCAAGTTTGGGTTTCGTTGTCGATACGCAGCGCTCGGGTCAACTTTCAGTTTCGATTTTGTGAGAACGCATGCTGCTTAAGGCAACTGGAAACAACTGCAATTTTTTAATCTGCGGTACAGCGATTGATAAGATGAGATATTCCCAGATTTAAATGCAAGAAGTCGTTCAAATCCAGTCTTGCCAGATAAGGCAGGAATAAACCCCCGAGTTACAGAGCTGGCTGAACTCAGGCCAATGCTGCAACAGTATGCTGTAGGATTTACAGAGAAACCCACTAGGCAACTACACTACCAACATCATTTAAAAAAATTATTTTCTGTTTTAGGATGAAGTTCCCAGGAGTAGATCAACCAAGAAGATCTGTATCATTGCCTCTACAGTTATCTTGGTAGTTGTTATTGCAGCAGCTACTACATTTGGTGCTATAGCTTACAACAATCACTTATTCTACAAAGAGGTAAGACCACATTATTCAAGACTTCCGGTTTATTGAGCTGTACACCGTTACGGAAGAGAAATGGAACTATTTTTTGCATCAAAGAAATATAACACAGTTGATATAGGCGAATATTGAAAGGAAAAGCAGGCTTATTGTTTAAAGGGTCAGATGCGCCATTTTGGGGGGATGATTTTAGTCTTGAATATATGTAAATAGTCTTCATAGTCAAATAGTACTAGAAATGTACGAAAATCGCATAATTCCTTCAAAAATATCTTATTTTTACTGACTATTTTTATGTATTTCTAATCTGTATATCACAGAGTGTCTTAAATTAAAGAGTCGTCATTTTAACATTCAAGCGGATAGTTCTGGACACACATTCCAAATTTCGACTATGAGCTGTTAACACTATTACTGATTGGCTTAGCTAAACGTCCCGTTTCTGAGACTAAAGTATGATTGGTCAAAAAGAATGGCGCATCTGCCCCTTTAATTGCTTAGTTTGAATATCGGCAATGTAAAATGATGGCGATTTCCCTCCTCGAAGCCTTCCTAATTTTACTTTGCATTGTATTGTCGCACTCGAAGCAGACCAAGCTTACTCTTTTCGAAACACCTGAATGGAGATACTTCTCCTTGGAGGAGTCGACTATAAAACGTTTACTCACGATTTTTGATAAGGTTTTTATTAACGGAATTGTCATGCATGTACGGATTTTTATTGATTTGTATGATTTTTTAATTATAGAAATACGACACCAAAGCCAATGTTGATGGTATCGAGCTTCCTGAACATATTCGTGTTGACTATAAAAATGAAATTATCTATGTGACCAATGAAAAGAATGGACCAGTTGATGCTCTGAATGCCCTCCACAATTATGAAAGAGTAAGTATTTTTATGAGCTCAATAAATACATGGATTGGAATAGCGATTGGTTAACCATTAAGTTGGTTCTTTGGAAAGACAAGGAATATTCCGGCTTAGAAAAGTTTTTCCCAGTTTGCAGAATTATATATGCAGGTGGATTATATATTCAATATGTCAAAAAGCAGAAAAGCGAAACTTTATGGTTTTCGAGACCCCCCGTCCCCTAAAATCGGATTGAGAAGATATGTCATGGCGCCCAAGTAATAATGACGACCAATAAAGTATTTCCTTTGAACTTTGAACTATAACCAACCATGATAGATAGAATTCCACTATACGTTGATCTTACCTTTTCAAGGTCATTCATAGCAAACGTTAATAGGGACAGTGAAAGGCTGTCCCCTTGTCTGACACCAATTTATACTTAAGCTAGTCACATCTTTTATAATTACTAATTACCATTAGAAAACACTATTGATTTATTACCTATTTATTTTCAGAAATTGTTAGCTTTTAATGATTTGACTGCCAATAAATGTTTCATCGATGTTTTGGACGACACATTTGATGAAGGTTTGAAGAGATGGGCCTCCCATGCTGTAAGTATTATAACCATTTGATTAAATGTATCAGATATATAAGAAAAGAGTATCGCATGTTTGCGTTTGTTTACCCTTTGTCCTTTTTTGTTCTCGTTCGCTCATTGTTGCTTTTTTTTATGTCACACCACATAATGGAAAATGAAAACATCATTGAATTATTGTTACGTTGACGAAAATGATTGAATGATCAAAATTTTTGAATTTTTTTTTAACTCATTTTCATCAAATTTTTCATTGGCTAAATTTTGGTTCACTTAATTGTTAAGGATTTCACAAACGCGTGACATACATTTTGACTGACAGGTTCTAAGTAAGCTAGATCTTATAGTAATATTTTAGTGGTGTTGGTCTTTGGGAGCAAAGCCACATTACATATTGCATATTACATATCATGAAATATTTTTTGAAAATATTATGTTTCATTATATAATTACAGGGAAAAGTTAGGAATCCAAAGAAATTTACTTTTGAATACCCCAGTGAACCCATTCGTCCTGAAATCTTGAGAAAGTTTGGTGGTGATGTTATTGCTGATCATTGTAAAAATGTCACCTCCCATTGGGTAATCCGAGACGTTCCAGTCGTTGAAAATAGCCGAAACAAACGACGAGCAAGTAAGTACTTTTTTTGAATGACATTTACTCTTTCAAATTGCGGTGTATGTCCAGCCAGCAACCATGAAAATTATGACGATTAATCATGGAAATTCAGACGACTAACCATGGAAATTATGACGAGTAACCATGGAAATTGCGACGAGTAACCATGGAAATTACGTCGAGTAACCACGGAGATTACGTAAATTAAGTAACCGTACAGATGCATGGAAAGTGTGGTCTAGAGTTTAATGAAAGCTTTGATACATGGCTTAATATAGTTTTTGATTAACTACAAAAATTTCAAAATCCGCTATCGGTAAGGAAGCAGGTGTTGACACAGCCAGTAGCACAGGGGTATGAGGTGATCCGGAAGGATGAACATCAGATATTTCTGTCTAATTTGTACTTTAATTTCGATAAAATAAGCTTTCGTTATAATTTTACAGTCATTAACTGTTATTTGTTTGTGTTTCTTTCAGTGGCCCTTCAAGCAGCTTTCTGTTGTGAACCATGCAAAAGCGGGCGTACAATGCGAGCTTAAACTACAAAACAATTCCACGTACACAGAAACTCAGGAATTCCAAAACAATCTGATATCTATTAACATCTATATATAAAAACGCCAACGATTTACTGAACAGGATTACGCAATTGATAAACGATTTTATTTAAATGAGATGTGAATGAGTAAAAGAGAATAGTGTATTAGATGTGCGAAATTTATTAAGTTAAATTCGGGATAATGGCCTAAATGTGATTAAACTAATTTGAATGTACGTTATCACATATATCACCAACAATTTAATAACTGTATTCTCGATTGTCACAAAAACAATTTTGGTATCATTTTATTGGGGATTATTCGAAATTTGTATGATTTGATATATACCTTAGATCTTTCTTTTTTTAACCCATACTTGTATTTTATATGTATCCACCATTTACCTTTTGTATGAATGTTTTGTTGATAATAAAATTCAAAACTGATATATATTATTTTAGAAACAATAACAGATATGTCAACCCGACATGCATTTTGGTGAATTCTGTTGGCTCAGACTGTAAAAGTCAAATGATTTACCAGTCACTTGCAAGTGTGCTTTCGTCTTGAAGTAAGAAAATCCTGGGAAGGATGTTAAGAGTGCAGAGAAGAAAATTTGTTAGAGGGTAGATATGTTGTGACAGAATGGGAGTTGAGGGGGTTAAAAGGTCAGGATAAGTTCATAGTTAGTAAGGCCGATATTATTGCACAGGATAGGGTGGTGTGGGGGGTTATTCTCTTAATTTGAGACGTACTCATTGTACCTCCGTGCAATATTCCGAATTACAATACTTAGATGACTTCATGTGGTTTGCTTCTTTCAACTCTCTACCAACAACTGAACTGCCATAAATTTGGTTTCAAAAATATTCATAAGTATCCACAACGGTCAAATAAAACTGCAGTGAATTATTTTCTTTGATGTAAAACGTATATAAAACGTTGCACTATGATTTTGATTGATTTTCAGGCAGACTGTTCGCATATTGTTATTGAACTGTTCATATGGCTGAATGTCCAACAAACGACGTGTATATACGGAATAGGTCATCTATGAAAACAGAACTATTGATTTCGTTTGCTGATATTTTTTAGTCTCCATCTAACAAGATTTCATCCAAAGGCCCGACCCAAGGATAGTATATTTTTAACCAATAAAAGCGCGCCATGTAGAACCGTTTCCTGAAAAATCGAAAGTTAACATTAGAACAGGACTGTGGTAGAAAACCTGAAATTGAGAAATAAAATGACATTTCTAGTGCAGAAAAGAGATCGAGAAATATCAAAGAGAAATAGAGCGACTCGGAATATGATAGCCCACATGCTGTTTACAATATAAAGTACCTTTTATAACCGACTATCCAGTAGCGAACTGAGGATGTTGTTTTTCTTCTATAAAGAAGATGATGACTGCATGGATGGGGCGGGCAATTAATGCGTTGTTGGTGATATTAACCGACCGACACAAAACAAGTCAGTGTTCTCTACTTCCATCAAGGTACTTGGTAATCCAGAACACTTCTTTCAAGTCCTTCAAAGAAAATACCATTGTTTACGGCCAAAAACATTCTATATGCTGTCAAAAGGACAGGCCGCATTGCATGGGATGAGATGGTCAATTAATGACCGACTTTTTCGGAAAACAAGTCAAAGTTCTCTACTTCCATCAATGAATCGTACTCTAAGACCCAGAACACCTCTTTCAAGTCCTTCAAAGAAAATGTCATAGTTTACAGTCAACAACATTCTATATGCTTGCTAAAAGGGCACTAGGAAGAAAGAGCAAGACTTTGATGTCTTAGTATAATGAGGCTGTCATTAATCCATGGGCCGATGTCTTCGAGTTTTATCAAGAAGGAAAACAATGCCTTCCAAGATCATGAAACAACGTCATTATAACCCAACTGAAAACTGGACAGCAATTGATCAACTTCTGCAATATGACAATTGATGTAATATCATACGTCAGTGAGCAGCAAGGTGCTTCTATTGGCTGGAACAATGGATTGACTTCTGACGTCAGAGTTGGAGGTTACCTGGAGCCAAAATATGTCAATTGTCCAGGAAAAGGGCTCAAAGTCGGACGACCTTCCTCTGAGAGTTACTTGGATTCCATGTGTGCTTATGGTGGGAGAGGTGGTACTTGCGGAAGTCGAAAAGGGGTATGAAGATTACGAAAGGTTCGAAACATGGGGCCTCGTGGTCTTTCATCGGACCACCGGTAAAGCTTATTCTTCGATTCTCGGCTTTCACTAACAGGTCCAATGAACTCTTGTCGTGTCCTTTTTTAGGGGAGGAGGTGGGGGGACCATTCCTATCCTAAAAGAGGCTGGTCCGGCGTTAGCTCCCCCACCACCTACCTCACTTTTAAATTTGTGAAAGAATCCCTTTCCCCCTTACATAATATTATTCATAGACACAACCCTGTATCTTTCATTTTGGATGTTATTTGAAACCCTATCGATAGTTCTGTTTTGTTTTTCAATGGTAATGAAATACGTCCTCAGAGACAGTGGGAATAATTGAATAAATGGCACGTTGAATCAAATATTAATATTTATATTGGCTGTAATTGATTAGGTAACAGCACATAGATCCTTCATAAAAGTTCATAAATAGTAACTTGGAACATTTTTATTGAATTAGATTAAAAATCGAAGATATAAAATATTTACTGGGCGTTATATTAATTGCAATTTTTTTCATATTTGAATATTTTTTAGAGAATCTTTTATCGAATTCTATGAAAATCGTAGCTGTAAAAACAGTATAATTATGCGTAGAATCTTTCCGCGGGTAATTATCACATTTTGAAAAAGATTTTTACTCCTTTTCTTTTCAACAAGGGCAGTTGACTAAGTAACTTTATTTTCTATCCATTGAAGTCTTTGAGGAGTAATTCATAAACATTATGAAAGCTACTCGATTTTAAATTCAAATTTAAAAGAAAAAAGAATTAAAGATAGGTTTCCTTATTTTTATTGTCAAAGCAAACTATTTGATTAATTGGTGTTTCTAATGAATTATCATGTATTCTTAATCATATTATTATGTTCTTATTGCATATAATAAAGAGTTTAAACTTGTCATAAATGTCCATAGATGTACAGTCTGGATAAACAAAAAAAAGACCTTTTGATCTTTCTTGATCGGTTACTCATTGGAATTCTGCTGATAATTCTCTTTTAATTTAGCTAATTATGCAGTATATGAGAAGCAAAAACGCTGCAAAAGCCTTTGAACGCAGTATGGTCGCATAACTCGCGGTATAAGGTCGAATGTTAGTTTTATAGAGACATTTACTCCAGTTCTCCTCACGTTTGACCGCGACCTAGTACATTTCCAGTCGCTGTAAGATCGCAAATAGACGAGGATATTACTTACCATTGAGTATGTTGAAAATAAATTTGTCGGCTATGTTCCTTTAAATGTGATCTACATAAATGTCGACGATAAGACAAATATTATCTCTCGAACGTTAATTAAACAATAAGAGGATTTTTAACGCATAACTGGATTCAATATCGTGCTCATCCGTCTTCATTAACTTAATCCGGAAAATGAAATTTAATGAAATGGAGTTTTACGTCTTACGTCTCTGTGTCAGATTGAGCAATGAAAACAGCAACGCCTTGCAGTGGTCGATGAGAGAAAAGTTTCTAAGCCCTTCGGCAGTAGCATGACATCAAGAAGCGGGTCCTAAATGACACGCTTTGATTGGTTAAAATGACGTTATTTGAACGCGACTGTGGTATAAAAGCTGTAAGATTAGAATATATCAGGAAAAGGATACGAAAGTTTAATCTAATTCAATTTAGATTTTACCTAGACCTAGACCACTGCAGCCTCTTAAATGAACATTGTCTGTTGTATGTTGAAAAAAAAAATTATTTATTGTTTCGTTTTGTCATACCTAATAAAAACATTCCAATTTTTTATTGCTGCCTGCATCAGAAAAACGTGCTTTTCACTTCAAGAATATCAAGTCTCAAATGACCTGGCGGGATGGCGTAGGCGGTCTGCCTTCGGCGTAGGATTCAAAACACCGGTGTCCCCAATACACATAAAATTTCAGAAAACCTCTTTACAATCCCTTTAAGGCTTTAAGGTGCGCTAATATGCTGCATAATGAAACATTGTAAGTTGTTATTACAAATCCCCATGTAATTATATATGTTGTAAACACTTTTATTTTTCACTTATTTTGTTTATGGGTAGCTGAACTGTATGTTCCTGACCCTTGGCCTAGTCCTGAATACTACCACATGGAACAAGTTAAATCTAGTTCGAGTTCTTTGTTAGTTTGAAGGTCTTCAAAGCATGCAATTATCATATGAATAATCATGTCGTCAATTAGAATACAACTGTTGTCATTAATGGGTGCTTTGTATGTTTTTACAGTTCAATTTAACCAACATTATGCTATTTCATTGGATGTTACAGTGCCCAATGGAAATTTAGATCCGTTTGAAGCAGGTATATAAAGGTGAAAATTTTGTTGTTACACCAAGATACCTGAACAGGTAAAAAGATCGTCTGTTTCTAACAGTTTTAGCCTCGATGTCACCACCGCAACCAACCATGCAGAAACCAATTGTATTTGAACAGGTGGGTAACATTTGCGTTTGTTATGGACAAGTTTGGCGATCTGTTCGTGTCTTTGCGAACATTGGCGACAACAGTGACCATCAAACGATGTATGACGTTTCTAACACTACGTTTTGACGACCTAACACACTCTGGACCAATCTTCCGTCGTCGTGGCAAGCGAGTCTTTGTGATACTTTATTAATGTCCATACCTTATTGACTCTTACCAACCAATGGTTTCTATGTTTTGACGACCTTAACACGCTCTGCACCAATCTTCCGTTGTCGTGGCAAGCAAATCTTCGTGATACGTTTATATGCAGATGCTATTAATGTCCATACCTTATTAGATATTACCAACCTCTGATACTGCTTGAAAATAATGTACGATTTTGATTTTCTGAGAACGCACGCTGCTGAAGGCAACTGGCAGCAACTGCAATTATTTTAGTCTCCGGTGCAGCGATTGATGAGATGAATAAACCGGAATAAACCCCCGAGTTACAGAGCTGGCTGAACTCGCGCCAATGGTGCAACAGTATACTGTAGGATTTACAGAGAAACCCACTAGGCAAATACACTACCAACATCATTTAAAAAAAAAAAATTTCTGTTTTAGGATGAAGTTCCCAGGAGTAGATCAACCAAGAAGATCTGTATCATTGCCTCTACAGTTATCTTGGTAGTTGTTATTGCAGCAGCTACTACATTTGGTGCTATAGCTTACAACAATCACTTATTCTACAAAGAGGTAAGACCACATTATTCAAGACTCCCGGTTTATTGAGCTGTACACCGTTACGGAAGAGAAATGGGACTATTTTTTGCACCAAAGAAA